GAGAGGCACCAGCGGAGACCAAAAAAAAAAAAAAAAAAAGGTCCTCTCTCCACAAAGCGCACTCCAGAGTAATAGAAGAAGTATCTGATTTACAATAATAGAGGAGGACTTGATCACACCTGTCTCAGCACTGGACAGATCATCTGCGCAACAAACCAACAGAGGAACAGTTAATCTATCAGATGGAGAGAACAAATCTGTGGTTATTGGTGGAGGATGGGGTTTGGATAAGGGGCATAAAGAATAAATATGATTTGTAACAATGAATATGCTAATAAAAAATAAATTCAAAAAATAAAATGGTCAATTTTATGTATGTGAATTACATCTCAGTTTTTTGAATATATAAGAAAGAGCAACTGAAAAATAACACACAGCTGGAAGCTTTCATACCGACATCCCCACCTTTTCAGCAAGCAATGATGGAGAATTCTAAAGCAGATGTAAATGTTGGGTCTCAAGGAGTAACCCAAATATAACCATGTGGATATACTACCCATCTTTCTGTCTCCCAATCCCGACCTCTCCCATTTCACTCCCAATAACACCACACACACTGGTACCATTCCAGGGTAGATATCTCTTTGCCCTGAATGCCAAATGGTCTGGTGACAAACTTCCTTTACACACTCATCAAGTTTACATAGTGATTTCACAATATTGTTGGGCCAAAAATAGAGACAGTAACTCTAGCACTGCCATATCTTCCCCTGGAGACTTATGTTCTATAGATCTCTGCCAAATTCTCCATTCCGGGTAATTGCTTTCACTATGGATGCTCTGGAATCCACAGTGGCTTGCCCAATTATTTGCCCTACCAATTCTAAATTCTCCCTAGTTTTCAAAGTTCTCTGTAACCTAATTCTACCTTTCTTGTCAAAAATTAAGTCACATGACTAAACATTTGCTTATTATAGCGTAGAACCTAATCTTAAAACCCCGTCCTGACTGACTTCACAAATATGACTAACTTTCTACTGAGATGTTAGATGATTACTGAGACCTGTTTGAACATATCTCAGGCCTCCCAGCATCTACCACCTATCTATCTCCTTGTCGCTGAACTCTGGGGTGAGACAGCTTCTCGAGTGATACTTTGACCTTTACAAAGGCAGTGGTTTTGTTTTTTACAAAAAGTATAGTTGTACAAAGTAGTAGGAGGAACTTGTTGGAAGGTACCCTACATGCAGGTATCTTTTCAGAGTCCTTAGAAGAACACTTTATTGAGATGTAATGGGCAGTCAACAAGTACTGTTCAATTGAGGCAAATTTCTTTTCAAAACAGCAGCTTTTGTATCTTTACTGCGTCTCTGCTTAATTCTGTCAAGCCAAAAGATTCTGATATACTTCTGATGCTAACTCAAGTTATAAAATCACCTATTAGTGAGTCTTGCTTTGCTTTCTCAAGATTCAACTTTCTTCAGTGGAATTCTAAGTAATATAACTAATCTTTTTCTAGCATGTTTTTAAACACAGTTATTTCTATCATTATTTTTAAAACAGTGAACTGTTATAAATTTTTTATATATTCTTTTCTTTGCCTTTTCAGACCATTAGACCGAAAAAGGATGTTACCAACCATGTTGTTTTGCCTATCAAAACTACAAAGTCCATCAGCATTAAACTCCAGCCCAGAACAGCCAATATCACAGTGTCCCAGAAGCCAAAGTTGGAGCCACCAAAACTTGTGAACAAAAGGCTGACTTCAGGACGTGTTTCTTCTAACCCAAACTGTAAGCCTTCCAGAAAAAGTCATCAGCAGCCTGAAGCTGGATCTTCCACTACAGGGGAACTGTCAGAACCCATGGGGTCACGTAGTATACAGGAATTGAAAACTGCAAAGCAGCAGGTCACAGATCAAGGAAATGCTAAATATACAGACTCTGTGGACAGCACCCATGTTAAAAACAAATCTTTGGATGGCTTTCTAAAAGAGATGAATAAAGAAAATTTGCCCCAAACCTTATCAGAACCTGAGAGGAAGCCAGGTCCTGAATTATGTATTATAAGTAAGCCAAAGACTAACTCTTATAATCAAACCAAGAGCAGTTTGGCTCCTAAACAAGCTGTGGGCAAAAGTTCAGTAAATAGTGCTATACTGAAAAACAAAATTAATAAACAATTTGTTGGAGAAACACAAATTAGGACTCTACCAGTAAAGTCACAGCAACTCTCTAGAGGAGCAGATCTTGCAAAATCAGGAGAAAAACTCCCAAGGACAGTTCCCTCTGGCTTTATTCAAACCCTCAGTAAGACTCAAGCATCAAAGAGACCAGTGGTGAAGGACATAAAGAATATAAAGGTTAACAAGAGTAAATATGAAAGACCAAGTGAAACTAAGGTATGGTCTTATCCTGTTACTGAACAGAAAGTAAAATATGCCAAGCCCAGGACATACCCCAATTTGCTTCAGGGAGGATATAACAACAGACATCCAAACATCAATCAAGTTCAGAAATCCACTCAACCATGTTTTAGACCTCAGACATCATGTCAAAATCAAAAATCAAAAACCATAAGCCAGAGGCCTAATTTGACAGTTAGCAGCTTTAATTCAGTCATTCCACGCACCCCTAGCATCAGAGCAAATGGAATCAACAGTAATGAATACAACAGCAGCATTCAACAAAAAGCACAGACTTTAGACTCTAAGTTGAAAAAGGCTCTGCCCCAGAACCATTTTCTGAATAAGACAGCTCCCAAAACTCAAGCTGTCACAACCACAAATTGCAAAGGAGTCCCAAATGGGGCCCAAACTAATCCTAATATTAAAAAGAAGACAATGGCAGAGGATCGAAGGTACTTTGCTTTAATTCCAAAATTTTTGCAATTGAAGATGATTAGGCAAATTGACAATCAAGAATACTTGGTCAGGAAATAAGCCATAAGTAATGGCTCCTAAGTAATTTTTAGCTATAGCCTTGAGAGAAGATTTGAAAGCAACTAACAAATATTAAGACTTGACAGAGCTGGGTGGTACATACAGGTGTTATAAATTATTCTCTGTTATTTTCTGTATGCTTAAAATAGTTTATTTTTAATAAAGAAATTGAAGCACAGAGAATAGATGGGTGAGAAATAGGAGTTGCAGATGTAGATTACTCATTCAAGAAGTACCCTACAGGGGCTGACCAACAGTAGAACATGGCAGGTTAGAAGGAGCCAGAGTAGTGAGTGAGTGCACATAGCTAGGGAGTGGGAAGGTGGTAGTCCCTTGTCAAGCAGACCAGTGATTAAGTCCAGAAAAGTTATCAGGGAAGAAGGAAGAGGAAGCTTCTGTGAGTCTGAGTGGGCCAAGTTTTAGAAAGTAAGCTAAGTCATAGAGGAACAGTCGGTTCAAATACAAAGTTCAGATTGCAGAAATAGGGATCTCAGGTTGCTGGGGGTTAATATTAACATACATGGTTCTTGAAACTAAGCCAAAAGATTTTCTGCACTTTCCACACAGGACCAGACATAGTCTCATGAGAATGAAACTCCCAGGGGAGGCACATATGTATATCTGGTTGAAGTAGAAAAAAAGGAAATTCCTGACAAGGGTGAAAGGAGCATGTGAAATTGGCTGGTAGCTAAAAGGTGTAGCAGGGTGAGGTGTGGTCAGGATTTAGTCTCTGGACAGCACTGAACACCACCAACAATCTCTTTGCCCTCCTGAAGATACAGAAAATAAACAATTCAGGGTGACGTGGTCAAGAGAGTAGGGTTGGGATAACTTCTTTAGGTAAAGGGGTCAGGAGATGTACTTTCAACAGTGACATCTGAGCTGAGAGCTAACGTTTGGAAAAGGCTGGTGACAAAAGTGATAAGGCTTTTGAGCAGAAAGAAATGAGTGCAAAGACCCTGAGCCGGTGAATGAGGAAGTCAAAAGACTGTTCCTAGGACAGTGTGTTGCGTGTTGAATAACATCGTGTTGATTACAAAAGGGCAGGCATCTGTGGGGAGGGCTGGATCTGTTGCCTCATTCCTCAGGTGTTCCTTCAGTGCCTGCTATGCGCCAGGCAATAGGAGGTACAGTGGTGAGCACACAGTCAGTCACTGCCTGTACGGAGCTTATTGTTTGCTGTATATATAGAAAGTACTAGAGAAATAAGATTAGGGTGTGACAGCCCTAGGACTAAGTTGGCTTTAGAGAAGGAAAGTTCCCTTTCTGTTTATGGTCAGAAGGAAGGCTAAGGAGATAGGAAGAATACCAGGAACACAGAGGAAAAGAATGCCAGATGTCTCAACTTGGACCATTAAGTAGGCAGTTAGAGTGAAGGTAAGTGGGGAGCAGTTGTATGGATTGTGCTCTGGAGTCAAGAAGGGAGAACCGAGGGTTAGCATTCATTCTTTCAAAACTTAGTTATTGGCATTCTGGAAAAAGCAAAACTACAAGGACAAAAAACAGGTCAGCAATTGCCAGGAGCTGGGGGTGGGGGACAGGGTTGACTACCAAAGAGCACAAGAGAATTTTTTGGTGGTGTTGGAACTGTCTTATGTCTTGATTATATAACATCGTGAGTTTGTCAAAACTCACAGAATTGCACACTTAAAAAAGGTGAATTTTGCTGTATGTTATTGAACACCTGTGCCAGGCACTATGCTAGGCACTGGACATCCTAGGTTTCTTCCTTCATAGAGCTTGCATTCTTATGAAGGAGATAGAAAATCAACACGTTGATTAAATATGACAGGCTAATTACAGATAATTATCTCTTGAGGGATAATTATCCCTGAAGTGTCATTTGTGCAGGGGACAGAAGATGCAAGACCCTGAGGCAGAAATGAACGTGGGTCAAAACACTGAAAGGATGCCAGAGTTCCTGGAGGGTAGCGGGCAAGAGGGAGAGTGGTATGACGAGGTTGGAGAGGTAGGCAGGAGCCAAATTGTACTGTGCATTTTAGCCATAGAATACACTTTGAATTTATTTCCCAGAGCCGTGGGAAGTCCTTGGCAGTGACATATTCTGGTTTACATTTTAAAGATCGCTCTAGCTACTGCGCTCAGAGTGAATTTAATAAGGGTTGGAGTGGGAGGATGTGAGTTTGGAGGCTGCTACGTCATTTCAGACAGAAGGCAACAGTGATGTGGATCAGGATGGGGGTAGTGCAGATAGAAGCAATATTGACCATATACAGTGAGGTGTCAGATGCGAGGGAAAGAAAGGAACTACTCAAAGACAACTCCTACTTTTGGCCCTAGCAACTGGATGGATTGGGGTGCTATTTACCAAAGAAAGGAAGACTGGGAACATATTTGGAGATGAACATCAAGAACTTTGTTTTGGACAGTATTGAGTTTGAATTGCCTGTCAGACATTTAATAAAAGATATCAGCTAGACAATAGGTTTTACAAAGTTTAGGACCCCAGTGCTGAAATGTGCATTTACAAATCATCAATATATAGTTGTAATTAAAGAAGCTAGAGAGCCTATATCCAAACTCTTGGGTCTCCACGTCTCGGTTCCAACAGTGGTATATGGTCTGCTTAAAAGCAGGAGTGGACAGTGTGAACAGTAAGGGAGAGCAAGGGTTAGGACTTGGCACCATCAGAAACCAGCTACTTAAGAAAAGAGCCCTACAATTATTGATCTAGTTTGTGAAAGAAAGGGAGGTCACGTGTGGTCAGGAGAGAGCAAAGGAACTGGGTGAAGTGGGTCACTTTGAGCACCAAGACACTACTGAGGGCAGAATGCAGCTGCGGTTGGTCTGGTTGAGTGACAGATAGAAAGCTTATGGTGGGAGAAATGGAGTGCTGAGTTCGTGACTCAGATGGAGGGATGTCTAAGGAAAGCAAGTGTCAGAAGTAGCATACAGCGAAGTGGAAACTCAGAGAAAAATAACGAAGAACAGTCACAAAGTCAAGGAATTTGAAGACTGAATTTCTGGCCATCTATAATCCTGGCATCTTCCTTCCAATGGGTGGAAGCAACCCAGTGCTACCATTACCCATTTGTACATTGCTTTTGGATTCTATTCTCCTGACTTTGTCTATAGTTGAAGGTGCTTAGTAATACTATACTTTAGAAGATTGACTATGTTTTAAAAGTATATAAAAACTAACCCCCCTCCCTTTAATTGCATAACAGGAAACAACTGGAAGAATGGAAGAAATCTAAAGGGAAAATCTATAAACGGCCCCCAATGGAACTTAAAACAAAAAGAAAGATAATAGAGGAAATGAATATTTCATTCTGGAAGAGCATTGAAAGAGAAGAGGAAGAAAAGAAAGAACAACTTGAACTGTCCAGTAAAATTAACAACACTCTGACAGAATGTCTGCAGCTCATTGAAGGGGTGAGTGAGCTTTTAGAGCTTTGGCCCAGAGTCTTGGAGGTTTTTAACATTTTTCTTAAATATATTATAGGGGAGATAACCTTCATCTAAGCAGAAATTAGCGTCTCTTTTTAATATAGAATAATAATAGCAATAATAATAATGACATACACTTAAATAGTGGCTGTTGTATGCCATGTGCTATTATAAGCACTTTGTTTATATTATCTCATAATTACATAATGACCATTACCATGCCCATTTTACAAATCAAACTGAGGCACAGAGAAGTTGGGAAACTAACCCAAGCAGTCTGACTCCAGAGAGATCCAAAAAGAACTTTACCTTCTTCGGGTATCAAGGTCCAAAGAGTAAACATTTAACATTTGGATATAAGCCGAAGTCAGAAGGCAAGGTCATATGTAAAGTTGGAGTATCCTAAATACACTGAGTAGCTATAAAGGGTGCCGAAATTGTATCTTGTTCTCTGCAGATAAGATAAAATAGATGGTAGACAAAGAATATGATCCTTAGAAGATTCCCCAAAGGAAAAATATATTAATAAAAAATGGTGGGGTGGATTTCTGTACTAAGGTCCTTGCCTAAAGCAAGCCCCATTCTGTCCTTTGGGTAGTATGTTGGACATCAGCAAAAAAAAAAAGGAAACCTTCAGTTTAGGTCACTCTGGGCAATATTTTCACAGCATTCAGTTAAACACTATTTTTCCTTTGTGAAATTAAATTTCAGTTCTTATTTTTATTTTTTGCTCTTTCCTTTATTTTCATTGTATTAAAAAAAATCACATTCTCATTATTAAAATTATTTCAAACAATACAGATAAATGACCGCACCTTGCCCTACACACACACACACACACACACGAGGATACTTCAAAAAGTTCATGGAGGGCTGGCTGGTTCTCAGTTGGTTAGAGCACAGCGTTATAACACCAAGGTCATGGGTTTGGATCCCCTTACTGGCCAGCTGCCAAAAAATAAATAAATAAATAAAATTTTAAAAGTTCTTGGAAAGATTCGTATTAATTTTTAATTCCATTTTTCCACGAATTTTTTGAAGTACCCTGGTACTTAGGGATCCCAAGTGTATCTCTGAAGGCAACTGCTATTGCCAGTTATCCTTCCAGTTTTTATGCATGTATATACGTATAGGTACATAGAGAAAAGAAGTACAAAGTTTTGAGTTGCAATTATTTCAGATTTTTATGAATGTTCTTTGGTTGTCTTTTCCTGTCTTTTCCTGGTATCAGTGTTATGCTGACTTTGTTAAATATGTTGGGTATTTTTCCTTGTTTCCTATACTCTGCAAATAGTTTGTACAACATGAGAATTATTTTGTTTTTTGAAAGTTTGGTAAGAACTTGCTCATAAAGTCATCTGAATCGTGCTTCTTTGGGGGATAGTTTTGTGTATATCTTTCCAGTTTCTTGTATGGTTTTGTATTTCTTGAGTCAACTTTAGTTATCTTTGTGTCTTTTTTTAAATCTAATTTGCCAAAGATTTCTCTATTAATCTTTTTATTTTTTTTCTTTTTATTTTTTATTTGTTTTTGGCAGCTAGATGGTACAGGGATCTGAACCCTTGACCTTGGGTGTTACAAGGTGACAGACTGAGCTAACTAGCCAACACACACACACACACACACACACACACACACACATACATACATACATACATACATACATACATACATACATACATACATACATACATACATACATACATACATACATACATACATACATACATACATACATACATACATACATACATACATACATACATACATACATACATACATACATACATACATACATACATACATACATACATACATACATACATACATACATACATACATACATACATACATACATACATACATACATACATACATACATACATACATACATACATACATACATACATACATACATACATACATACATACATACATACATACATACATACATACATACATACATACATACATACATACATACATACATACATACATACATACATACATACATACATACATACATACATTTTTTTTTTTTTTTTTCTGGCATCCGGCTGGTAAGGGAATCCTAACCCTTGACTTTGGTGTTACCAGCACCATACTCTCCCGAGTGAGCTAACTGGCCAGCCCTCTATTAATTTTTTTAAAAAGCTATGTTTATCACTCTTTTTCCAGCTTTTTAGTTGAAAGCTTATATTATTTGTCAATCTGTCTTGTTTTCTTATAAGTACATTTGATACCATATATTTACCTCTGAATTTTACTTTGGTCATATCCCTTGGATTTAACTAATGCTCTTTATCAGTCAGGGTCAAGTGAGAAAAACAGAAACCACACAAGGTATCTCAATAGAAAGAATGTAATGTGTGGGTCGGTTACACAATGTCTTATGTGGGTTCCCTAGAAGCAGACTCTAAGAGGAGGATTTCTGTGAAAGTAATTTATTAGGAAGAGACTCCCAGGGAAAACTGGGAGGGAAGCGAAGTTGTGGGACCAGAAAGGGAAAGAAGGCAAGCAAGGTTAGGTATCAGACAAGTTCATAGAGGCTTACTTTGGCACAGTTCCACAGCAGAGTTCTGGAGACAATGTAAGTCACACCCCTCAGAGTCATCCTGATCAGGGGCAAGGAAGCTGCAGTATTAATACTCCCACAGTCATTTGTTAATGGCTGCCCCTGGGGGGACAAAAATTCCTAGACACTACTGAATCTCTGGACACATACAAGAAGGCACAGGTACTGGTTGTCGGAAATGAAAGCACACTGTGAGCCTGCATGCAAAAATGGTACGGGATCAGAGGCAATACAGTGCTACACACATAGACATCATCTGCTACGTGCAGAGCTGACAGCAAAAAGGAGCCTGAGGTGGCAGTGGCGATAACCACAACAAGCAGCTAGTACCTGCTGGATCTAGGGGAACAAAGAAAGGTTGGGGGTCTCAGAACCTAGAAGCTAGGAGAGATGAACTTTGGTAGAATGGGACCCCAACCCTAAGGAGGGCATACTACCCAGTAGATGCTGGTACCAGAGGAGCTGGAGGAGGGCCCCTGCGGGGCTGGGTCTCACACTTTGAAGAAGGATGCTACCCAGTTGGTTCAACTGCCTCTGAAGGAGCACAGTGAGGTGAAATCTCAGAAAAAAGGTGAAGGCTAGACCCAACTGCTGCTGCCAGGGTGAGGGACCATTGCTGGGGTGATGAAAGCACATCGGAAGAAGGAAGTCTGTCCTCCCTTCTCCACCCCAGCATTCTCCCTCCCTTGGGTTCGATTAATTTGCTAAAGTGGCTCACAGAACTCAGGGGAAAACTTGCTTACGTTTACTGGTTTATTATAAAGGATATTACAAAGGATACTGATGAACAACCACATTGAAGAGATGGATAGGGTAAGGTATGGGGTAAGGGGCTCAGAGCTTCCATGCCTACTCCTGGTGTCACCTCTCCCAGCTTGACGGAGACGCAAAGGATTACTCAAAGCCCATTTCTCCAGAGCAGTGAGAGGCCCAGAAGGGGTTAATCCCAAGGATGATTTCTTCAAGAGAGAAGAATTCCTAGGAAATAACCCCGATTCTCTCCGTTTTTATTCTCCAGGCAAGAAAGTTACAAAAAAGGAACATAGATGGTTACAAAAAGAACAATGAGATATTTGTCATGGCAACAATCATTAGGTTTAGCTGCACAAAGGACAATGCTTATAGCAAGGCATTTTTGCTGTGTTACTATTTTTTTTATCTACAACAGAGACTTTAGTCCTGGGAAAGTTTTCTGCTTTTCCCAAGCTTAGCATTTCTATGTGCAATACGTTTGGTTAGACATTTGCTTTATTAATGTTGGTACCCTCCACAACTGGAGCACCACCCTCCAGGAAGCTCACCTCGTTTGACTATCTAGAAGCTCATGTGAACTCTGTCCTTTTGGGCTTTTATGAAGGCTTCATTATGTAGGCATGATTTATTAAATCATTGGCTGTTAGTGATCAACTTAACCTTCAGCCCCTCTCCCCTCTCTAGAGGTTGGGGCTGGGGCTGAAAAGTCCCAACCCTCTAATTATGCCTTGGTCTTTCCTGTAACCATCCCCCATCCTGAAGCTACACAGAGGGCTGCCAGCCACCAGTCTTCTCATTAACATACAAAAAGACACTTACCACTGTGGAGATTGCAAGGATTTTAGGAGTTGTATGCCAGGAAACTGGGCAAAAACCAAATACAGATGGTCCCCAGTTTACTTTGTTTCCACTGATGATTTTCTAACTTTACAGTGAGTTTATCAGAATATTATAATGCATTTTCGACTTACTGTATTTTCAACTTATGGTAGGTTCATAGGGACTTAACTCCATCTTAAGTCAAGGAGTATCACAGTATCACAGTATTCTGTTTGTTTACTTCATCTGTTGCTTTCTGAAAGAAATACTTTCAAAACATCTGGCACTGATTAGTCATCAATAATTTCTCTTTGTATTTCTGTCAACTTTTACTTTCTTTTTCAAAGCTTTATGTTTTTAGGCACATAAAGACTCATGATTTGCTCTGATTTCTCTTTTGTCTGATATTAACCTTGCCATACCTTGTTTTTGTTGTTAGAATTTGTCTGGTGAATCCTTTTTCATTTATTTTTAGCCTTTTTGGGTTGATTTATTTTAGGAATGTCTTATATGCATATGAACAGATGAATTTCTTTTACTTTTTTTTTTTTGGCAGCTGGCCATGACAGAGATCAAACCCTGGACCTTGGTGTTATCAGCACTATGCTCTAACTGATGAGCTAACTGGCCAGCCAAAAGATGAATTTTTTTTAACCAAATCTGAAACTCTGCTTTTAAAAAGCAAATTTAACCCAAATGGATTTATTGTGATTACTCATATGTATAAACTTATGCCTGCATTTTATTTTGTAATTCAATTTACATGAATTCAGGGCTTGCTGGTTAGCTCAGTTGGTTAGAGTGCAGTGTTATAACAGCAAGGTCAAGAGTTCGGATCCTTGAACTGGCCAGCTGCCAAAAAAAAATTACATGAATTATTTTTTGTTTATTTTCCCTCATTTCTGTACTTGGTACAGTTTTCTTTATTTCATAAAGAAAATAATAAATTGAAATCACAAAGTAAAGTGGTAGGTATAAGTTCAAACATGGTTTGCAACTTTTTTATTATACTCTATGGTTTTTGAATGGTGTACTTTCTGAGTCCTTATGCTTCTGAAAATGTCATTATTTTGCCCTCATGCTGGAAACATAGTTTGGCTGGGTAAAAATTCTAATTTCAGATTGTTTTCTCTGGAAATTTTGAAATTACCTCTTCATTTTCTCTCTTCAATGTGGAATTGTTGATTTATTAAAGTCTTGTGTCATTCCTCTGTACGTAATCCTTTTTCTCTCTCTCTGGAAATGCTTAATATTTTCTTTTTATCTCAGTTTTGTAAATATAGTTCTTTTTACATTCATCCTACTTGATTCTCTGAGAACCTTTCAATCTGAACAATTGTTTCTTTGTCCAATTGTTGAAATTTTTCTTCTACAACTGCTCTGAGTATGTGTTCAGCTTTGTCCTATTTTTCCTTCTAGAAATGCTCTTAGATGGATATTGGAATTACTGAGTAATAGATGTATCCTCCAGAACTCTAAATTTTTCTTTCATACTGTTCATGTCTTTGTTGCACTGGGTTCTGAGAGAATTCCATGGCTGGATTTTCAGCTCACTGACTTATTCTTCAGTGATGTCCATGCCATTGTTCTGCCCTTCTCTTGGTTCATTGTCATAACAGTCCACTCTAGTTTTATGATAGCAATACCCTCTCTTATCATTCTGAAGATAATGACTGTAGTACTCTTAAAATTTGTTCCTCTTTGCTACCTCAACTGTTTGCTACAGTGTTTATTCTTGCTTGTTGAGTTTTATGCCTCTTTCAGGTTGTGTTGGTTTTCCTCAAACATTGGTGACTTGATTGTGAGCTTACCTTTGTGTGCCCCACATCTTGAGAGGAGCAAGAGATCCTGCTTGGCTGAGTGTGCCAGCACCTGGGTTTCTGGACATGTTTGTTCCCCCTTCCTCCTGGTCCATGTCACTGCCCTGCTCTGGGCACAAACCAGAAGGGGAACAAACCAGTGAAGCCATTTCAGTGTTCCTTTTTGTGGGATTTAACCCTCTTTCATATACATGTGCACCTCTTTGTTTTTTTTTTTGCTTTTTTCGTGTCCGGCAACGGATCGCAACCCTCAGTGTTGTGCCCATACCGGACCGGGACCGGCAACAGGATCGCAAACCTCGGTGCTGTGCCCGCACCTCGCTCAGCCAGTGAGCGGGAACCGGTCTGTATGTGGGATCCGAACCCTCGGCGGGAGCGCCGCCACACTTCCAAGCGGCACACTGTAGCAGTGCGCCACCGGGCCGGCCCCATGTGCACCTCTTTGACCTTTGCATCCTTCATACTGCTGTTAGAGTCATATAGAAATTCTGGCCACTACTCATTGTTCACATTATTATGAGTTTAATGAATATGTAAAAAATGTTGATTACTTTTTGTTTTTGCAGTACATAAAAATGTAGGACATATTTCTTACCTTCAGCCATGATAAATGTTTTTCTGTCTATTTGGTCTCATGTGACTCTTAAAATTTAATGATCAGTGCCGAAGCTCATTAAAAATATACAATTAAAATGTGTGCATTTTATTATATGTACATTATACCTCAGTAAAATTGAAATTTTTTATAAGTTCAAAAAAATTAGTGATCAGGTGATTTCTACATGCCTACTGTGATAAAATATCAGGAGATGTGTGAGTAATAGTGGAATAATTACCTCTGGGTATTTTTTTTCCCAGGGTGTACTTTCTAATGAAATATATACCATATTGTCGAGCATTCCTGAGGCTGAAAAATTTGCTAAATTCTGGATCTGCAAAGCAAAGTTGTTGGCAAGTAAAGGTGCCTTTGATGTTATTGGACTATATGAAGAGGCCATTAAAAACGGGGCAACAGTGAGTATCTGTCTTGGGATGGGTGACTTCTTAAAATTCTCTTTCATGTGGATTCTTTGTTTGCAAAATGGCAGTTACATAATGTGTTAAACTTCTAATTCACTTCATAAAGTTATACACAAAATAAAAGAAGTACAATATGTCCTTTATGAACATTCTGATTAAAATGTTTATAGGAAATTGTGTTATATGTAAACCAACAGAATCACTTGTCAGGTGACTGTGTCTCACAACACTCATTGTAAAAATATGCACTTATGGAAAGTAATAGCATGGAAAGTTATAACATAGCATCAATATCCAATTCTTGTAAAGTAAAGGCATACCTTACCATAATGAACCTAAAAATATATTAAACTCAACACATCAATATTCATAAATCAATAATTGAGAGCAATTGCGTGAAATAACTTGTAATTCTAAAACCTAGAAAAAATATTATGTAATATTTTTAAAATGTACATCAAATAGTTTTATAACTCTTTTCTCTTAAATGTCATTTTCCATGTCATATTCTACAGTACCTTTTCCCATGATTTTTCAAAATCAGAGTTGTACATGGACATAGTTTAAAAAATCAAATAGTTTGCTAAGTTTCACTCAGTAAGGCCTCTGCCTCCCTATTCTCCCATTTCCCACTTCCCAGAGCCTGATTATTTCTATATCTACATCTATAGTTTCAGAAAGTATGCTTATGTTGCTGTTTCTTGATTTTTCAGATTTAGAAGTGATTTGTGGACTTCTAGCTATGCAGGGTGAGGATTGAACCCTCTTTCACATACACCTGCACAGATCCCCAACACACACACATATACACCCCTGTCTGTCATTCTTGTAGGTCTTTTCCATCTCTCCTACTTCCATTAAAGTCACATAGAAATTCTAATCACTAGTCAGTCTTCACATTGTTATGATATGTAAGAAATATATTAATACATTGAGCCATGTATACGAGGGTATTTCAAAATGTTTGTGGAAAAATAGAATAATCTTTTATTTGTACATCTTTTTTTATTTTTTTTTTTTCCCCTTTTTGTCTTTTTTCGTGACCGGCAACGGATCGCAACCCTCAGTGTCACGCCCGGGCCGGGCCGGGACCGGCAGCGGGATCACAACCCTCGGTGTTGCTCCCGCACCTCGCTCAGCCAGTGAGCGGCCGGTCTGTATGTGGGATCCGAACCCTCCCGCCGCGCTCTCAAGCGGCACACTGTAGCAGTGCGCCACCGGGCCGGCCCCTTATTTGTACATCTTGAAGTACCCTTGTAAACTATGATTACTTTGCCTTACAAGCACAACTGTCTGCTTCTCCTGGAATTAATTGTTGTCTTGTTTTGCCTTTGCCCGGTTTTCTGAGTTTTTATTATGTAATTAATTCCCAAACTTCTCTGATTGTCTAAATTTCTCAATATTTTCAAAGCATCAGATATTCTATTTTCTTTCTTAGAGACCTTTCTCCTAAACCTTCTGTTTTATTCTAGGCTGCACAAACTGTCATTCTTGGAACGCTCTTCACCATCCCCCTCAGATTCTCTAAACATTCTTCTTAAATTGGATGGATCCCTTGTTTCTCAGAACCCATATCAAGTTTTTTTTTCTTCCTGCATTGTCTGCCTCTTCTCCAATGCTTTTCTTTTCTTTCTCTTTCTCTCCATTGTTGTTGTTATTGTTTATTTGTATTATTTTGTTTTGTTCCCTATCATTCCTTAAAGACTTTACTCAGATGCTGGTGAAACTGGGCTGTTTGCATATATTAGAGGTGGGTTTGAAAAAGCTTATTAAAAGCTCTGGACATATGAATGGGGCTTCTGCATAGGGTGATCTGGCTGAGTTGATTGGTTAGAGAACCCTCAATATCAGTATCTTTAGGTCTTTCCTCTTAAACCGGTCAGATTCTCTAGAGAAGTCTCTTCCAATCTCCTCCTTGGGAGCCAGAAACCAGGCTGCCAGTGTCACGAGGGATAAGAGAGCTGGGAGTCTCAACCCTCAACATGGAAACTTTCATTTGTCCCCTTTTTTCAGGTGGCACCCCACCTCCAGTCTTGCATGATGTCCCCCAGAGACTTGGAGAATATGGTCTCAGTTTTCTGTTAGGATAAAGGGTATTGGACACAGTCACCAGGCTACATGGAGTTTAAGGGTATAGGGTGGATTTGGAGGTCTGAATGCTTTTTGAACAGATGCCCGAGTCCTCCTGATTTGGGCCCCACCATGCATTCCTGAGCTCTTCAGAAGCCCTGTGATATGAGTCAGGCTGTTTCTCAGCTACACTGCCAGCTTAGGACTCTGCTCTCTCAAATTGCTCACCTCTCTTCCTTCTGTATTCCACCTTCCAAAATCTTACTACTATTTCTTCTCTCCTATTCTTTCTGATTATTGCCTCTTTTTAATCCCTTTATTATCATTTCAGTAGTTTCAATATGGGTTAGAAATAAATGTGTATTCAATCCACCATTCAGTATACCAGAAGCCTGTACACACTTGATGAATGTTTTATATGAATGTTTTATATAATTCAGACTCTTTGCAATGTGCTCTGTACATTTATTCTCTTTTCATTAAGCTTAAAGCATAATTCCTTTTTAGATTTTGTAAAAATGTATCGAAAGCTTTGCTTATTATGCTCTATTGTCTGTTTATATCTATTATTTATTTGATACAGAGTCCCAGCCCACAAAGACAAACCTCTAAATACAAGACTGCTTCAAAAAGTTTGTGGAAAAATAGAATTAAAAGATAATATGAATCTTTGCGTGAACTTTTTGAGGACACCTCATATTATGTCTCTATAAGAAAGTAGTTTACTTTCTGATATTGTGCTTCATGGCATGATTTACATACCTTTGAAAAATGAAGTCTATCTCATAATTTTATCAGAAAATTGCTTTTCAATAAAGTTTTTTGTGTTTTTTTGGTTTTTGTTTTTGGGTTTTTTTTTAAGGTATGTTGTGTTACCAAATAAAAGAAGAAAGAAGGCTGAAGAAAATTGCCCAAAATACTAACAAAGATTGTATTTGAGTGATGGGATTATGGGTGATTTCCTTTGTTAAGTTTAACCTATTGCTCAATTATTCTGTAATGAGGTATATGACCTTTAGGATAAAATTAAACAGTGTTGCGCCAGCCCCTGGGTCACTCAGGAGAGTGCGGCGCTGGTAGCGCCGAGGCTGCGGGTTCAGATCCTATATAGGGATGGCCGGTGCGCTCACTGGCTGAGCGTCATGTGGGCCACACCGTGCCGAGGGTCGCCATCCCCTTACCAGTCACAAAAATAAAAAAAAAATTAAACAGTGTTGCGCCAGCCCCTGGGTCACTCAGGAGAGTGCGGCGCTGGTAGCGCCGAGGCTGCGGGTTCAGATCCTATATAGGGATGGCCGGTGCGCTCACTGGCTGAGCGTCATGTGGGCCACACCGTGCCGAGGGTCGCCATCCCCTTACCAGTCACAAAAATAAAAAAAAAATTAAACAGTGTTGATAACACCAAGGTCCAGGATTCCATCTCTGTACAAGCAAGCCACAAAGGAAAAAAAAAAAAAAAACTAAACTAAGCACGTCATATGTTTTTACATATGACACCTTTTCTCAATGGCTAGCTTTACATCTTTGAGCCAGAATCTTTACATAGGAACACATTTTCAGTGGCATCATACAAATCAATAGGAAAATAGAGTCTGAATTAGAGAAATTTCATTATAAAAAACTTTAAATACATCTCTTCATTAAAGTCAAGTGTGCCAGCATTTAACCAAAACTTCTGGTTTATTTGAAGTTATATAAAGTTTCTTAGCTCATTTTTTCCATGACTATTTTTAATATTATTCATGGATTTTTCTTCCTTTCTTCCAGCCAGTACAAGAGTTACGGGAAGTTGTTCTTAATATTTTGCAAGACCCAAACAGAAACACAGAAGGTACTGTTATTTTTGTATTCAAATTCATTCCCTCTAGCTGTACAAGTGAAAAATATCCAGGACCACATGGGGAAAAAAAGAAAAGAATTATAAGTCCCCTAAAATACCTCTCACTTCTTGGTTTTCACGGCCTGTCCCATTCAGCCATTGTCATCAGCTGATTTATTTCTGTTATTGAAAGTAAATACACTGCTCCACATAGAACAAAGGTGGTTTCTATCAGAGCAGACTACACTAGAGTGTCCTGCTTCCCCAGAATCCTAGGTGGGAGAAGACAATGGCTCCTATCAGGGGAGAATGAAGCAAAAGGGAGAAATGGCTTAAGTTACATGTTTAATCATAATAAATCCACCAACACTTACTCATCTAACTTCATGTTCTCCCTTTAAAAAGAGCCATCTCAGGCTATTGTTAACCATTACTGTCACTGGTTGAACTTTAGAAGACTTCTGTGAGAAATACTGTGCCAAACACAGTGAGTGACATATTATAATTATGACATGTTATAGGAATGAAAAGAAAAAAGAAGCTGTCTTTAGAAAATAAAATAGTCTTCTTAGTATCTTAGAAGGTGACAAGTCTTTTTCCTTTAAGAGTAGATTTAACTGGAGAACTATCAAGTCATGTGAATTACAACTAAGTATCCCACTACTTTTGGGAATAAGGTCATAGAGTAGATATACTCAATGGTAGACTCTTGCTGGGAATGAGGCTAAAATTCATATATCTGGTTATATATAACCATATATTCATATATTTGGTTAAAATTCATATATCTGGTAGTGTTCTTCAAAGGACTAAAAAGAGGAAACAGGAATCCATGCCTTTAATTCATGTAGGCCCTATTGACCTCCCATAGGGTCTCAGCCTTTACCTACAGTGTCTGGCTCTCTCAGTCTAATTTCTTTCATTTTGGTTGTTGTGGTTGGGCTGTCATGAAAATTGTGTTAATGCAATACATTTTTCACCCACTGTTCAAGGTAATAGCCATGTGGTCATCCCTGGTTTGGGAAGGAATTGGGAGGTGAGTTAACTGTAGTGAGTCAAGAAAATTGATCCAAGGTATGGTGTAAGTGTACAAGCCCAGTGATTAGTTCCTAAGTCATCTCTCTTGAGAGTGAATAAGAGATTGGGTATGTGTTCAGACTGTTGAAAGGGTATCAAGGATCAATCTTCAACCATCTGGAGGGCTCATTAAGAGGGTGGCCTGAATCAATCACTCTTTATTTAGTATGTGGAGTCCATGAGGATTATTGGGAAATCATTGTATGTATTGCTTTTTCATTTTATTGATTTTTTAGCTTATGTATTACAGTGCTATATCTTACTTTCCCTCCTGACCTTGCATATACAGGAATTACTTCTGACTCTTCAGCTGCTGAAACTAATATAACATTAGTGGAAGAGCGGGCCAAGAAGATGGAATCTGGAAAATCTTGTCTTTCTCTGAAAGAGAGGGAACAGGTTACAGCAACACCCCAAATAACCAGGGCAGAACAGGATAATCATCTTGGTATCAAATTACAGATTACCCCAATCCCTAGGTAAGCAAACTCTAAAGCAGGCCTAATTGTTCTGTGTTTCTCAGTTCTCCGCAGATCCAGAGCAGCAGGAGTTTATAGATACTTCTGCTTCCTATGAGGTCCACGTAGCCTAATCCATGTTCAGCACTGAGGAAAGAGCTGAGGGTGAGGGGAAGCTGGAAACATTGACAGGAGGGTCTGTGTCTTTTCTCTGCATGCACACCATCCCCCTCCCACCACCCATGATGAGACCTGACCTGCAGTGAGACAGGTGCTGCCCAGTCAGGAGTATTAAATTGGATTCACTATCCTGCCTCCCAGGATCGGTCCTACCACTTCACTCCCATGCATCATGTACTTGCAGATCCCACCTACCTTTCCTGCCAGTCCTGGCACAGATGGGAGAAGAGGGAGAGGAGTAGACACAAAGTCCCAAGCAGAGGCCACCTTTAGCAGTGGGAAAGAGGGGCAGCAAATAGCCCTATAAGAAAAGGCAAGGCAGTTGAGTATGTACTGTCAAAGACTGCTCATAATATCAGAAGCCTTTTGTTTTTTAACAAGTTTAAGGCAGAATTGTGGTACTTTAAGGAGCTATGTCAGGGTGTCAATGCCATTTTCAAAAGTGTTAGTGGGGGCCGGCCCGGTGGCGCACTGCTACAGTGCGCTGCTTGGGAGCGCAGCGGCGCTCCCGCTGAGGGTTCGGATCCCACATACAGACCGGCCGCTCACTGGCTGAGCGAGGTGCAGGCGCAACACCGAGGGTTGTGATCCCGTTGCCAGTCCCAGTCCGGTACGGGCGCGACACTGAGGGTTGCGATCCGTTGCCGGTCACGAAAAAAGACAAAAAGGAAAAAAAAAAAAAAGGGTTAGTGCAGTGTCACTCTTCTCTGTTCATGATCTTGAAAGGAGAATTCCAAACAAGAGCACCAGGACAACAGTCCTGTGTTTTAGTTCCCCAGAAAGCATGGCAGGATGTCTTCCAGTCCTGAACTCCTCTCTCAGACACAATATTTCCTCACTGCAGTCAGCTCATGGATGGACAAAAGCAGGCAGTCAATCCAGAAACCACCTAGATTTTATTAGGAAAGCTTTTTAGCAGACTTGCCTGCCAGTTTTTTTAGGCTAATCAGTGGTTTTGTGACTTATAGACCAGATTCACTACCTGGAAAGGTCTCGGCATCCTGTCCTCCAGGCTACTTTGTATTGTAATGCACTTACAAGTTTACAAGGAAGATGCCCAATTTGTTCCAGTTTCAATCTGTGGTTTAGTCCACCATCTTAAAAGATATTTTTTGAATAATTCACTGTCAAAGCTAGAAAGAATGTTAGAATTCACCGGTCCAACCAAATTTGGTGTTAGGCCTAATTTCCTTAATGAGTCAACTCTTTTGGAAATTTATAGAATAAACAAACACCAACTACCAAGTAATTGACTTCAGATAAAAACCACACTTAACATTCATTTAATAAATCTCTATGCATACACCATTCAAGAGCAGGTGGACACCACCCAATACATTCTGGAAATCAGGGAAAAGCTGCCTTAGAACAAGAGCTGTTCTAGACATATCTCTTGTATCAGCCTATGTTGAAATGTCCGTGGTGTTTTATTATGGCATAAAAAACAGAAAAGGAATAATAAATAGAATATTTTTAAAAGATATGAGGTTTTGAATGCATCTCTTGCTGTCTCTCAGAATACAGAGGATGCCAGGAGTGCCAGACATGAAGCTTATTACTCCTGTACGGCGTTCATCAAGGATCGAGCGAGCAGTGTCCCACTACCCAGAAATGCTGCAGGAACACGATTTAGTCGTGGCTTCTCTGGACGAGCTATTAGAAGTGGAAGAAACAGAATGTTTTATATTCCGTAAAAATGAGGCTTTGCCTGTAACATTAGGGTTTCAAATCCCTGAATCATAATTTCTTGATGCTTTTTTTTTAAAAGGTGTTTCAGAGCCTCCATGAGATGAGAAATGTCCTTGTCCAGTTGACCTGGGAAAAGAAATATAATGGAGAGGCATCATGGTTGCAGATTATGGATTCAGGACCTAGGAAGTAATTCACTGGACTTTCTTTCAAATTTTATATCCCCATGGGAAGTTCTTTGGTTTATGTGTTGAAGACTGTAGTTTGCCACAGTTTTACAGCATACACAAATTTTAAACCATTGAATATTAATTTACCCCACAAGTGTGATAAAAATTTGTACTTTATTGATCTACTTTAATCCCAACATAGTTGTTTTCTATATCAGAAGGTTGGTCCCACGGGATAATGAACTTTCTTTTCTTCATCCACCTTAGCAGAGGGGGAAGTTCCTAAAGCATGGAAGAGCTGAGCTTTGAAACTAGCTGGCCAGGCTGGATGGGGTGAGACAGACGGCTGAGTCAAATGCCCTCATTTTACAGATGAGTTTATACTAGCTATGTCTTTGCTCAGAGATCACAAATGACGTTTATATGTCAGCTTTGACTTCCATCACAGTATCCTCGTAAATGAGGGGTGGTTATTGTCCTTTCTGTGCCAGGTCTCAAATGAAACACAGTCCTGAATTGGGGTAGTCATCTAGCTTTTTATATCCAAACCTAATTTTGCATTTGTTCTTTAGAAATACTTTATGTAAAAACAAAAGGGGGCAGGAGAGAAGTGTGGGAAGGGGACACTTGCTTCTTCACTTCAGTTCTTTGCTCTGCCAGGGAACGGCTGGCCTGAGAAGGCAGTGCAAGCCCCAGAGACCATTATAGGTTGCTTTTTCTTCTTCCTGGGCAACTGCACTTGGAAATGTAAAACCAGAGTCAGTATGTATATATAATGTATAGAAAAACCTAGTCAACCCATTTTAAATATTAGCTTTCTTAATATATAAGTATATGTAGAACAAAAATAAAAACCATTAAATTTTTGTTCACTCCTGCTTATTTGTTTATCTTATTTATTATAGAAAACAGTAATGATGGTTTGGCCTGTAGGAATAGAGTTTTGTCTGGGGAAACACCAATAGGCCATTCCAAGAGGACTCACAGGGACAATTCATTATCATGGAGAACTTACCTTGATCAAGGGTCTGACTGTCAACCTCACCCAGGAACTGGATTTTTTCATTGTGAGGAAAGCAGATCTATTTTTGAAGGTCAGATTTATAATAACAAGGTTTATAAATCTGGGCTACAAAACCATAATGCCAGCAGACAATAAGAAATAGAAATAGACTTTTGTAACTCAATAGCAGAAAAACAACCTAATTAAAAAATGGGCAAATGATATGACCAGATATTTCTCCAAAGAAGACATAAAAATGGCCAACAGGCATATCAAAAGATGCTGAACATCACTAATCATAAGGGAAATGCAAATTAAAACTACTATGAGATATTGCCTCACACCTGTAAGGATGGCTATTATCAAAAAGATAACAAGGGTGTAGAGAAAAGGGAACCCTAGTACACTGTTGGTGGGAATGTAGATTGGTGCAGCCATTATGGAGAACAGCGTGGAGGTTTCTAAAGAAATTAATAGTAGAACTGCCATTTGACCCAGCAAATTCCTCTTCTGAGTATACACCCAAAGAAGATGATATCACCACCTTGTAAAGTTTTCTACACTCCCATGTTCACTGCAGCATTGTCCACAACAGCCAAGATATGGAAACAACCTAAGTGCCCATCAGCAAACAAATGGATAAAGAAAATGTGGTACATATACACAATGGAGTATTAATCAGCCTTAAAAAATGAGATCCTGCTATTTACCACAACATGGATGGACCTAGAGGACATTAATAAGCCAGAAAAAATTATTTCATCTCACTTAAATGTGAAGTTTGTTTTTAAAGGGGGCTTAAATACACAGAGATAGAGAATGAAACTGGTTACCACGGGCTGGCGGGGAGTGAGGGGAAAGGGGAGATACTGATCAAAGGATACAAAATAAGAATGAACAAATCTAGAGATCTGACATACAACATGAGGACTAAAGTTAATGAAATTATACTAGAGATTTTTGGAAAGTAGATTTTAGCTGTCACAAAAAAACTAACTGTGAGATTATCAATAGGTCAATAAGCTTCACTATGCTAACCATTTTGCTATCTACATATATCCCATAACATGTTGTAAACCAGACATAATAAAATTTATTTTAAAATTATTTTTTGAGGGCCAGCCTGGTGACGCACTCGGTAGAGTGCGGCGCTTGGGAGCGCGGCGGTGCTCCCGCCGAGGGTTCGGATCCCATATAGAGACCGGTCTGCTCACTGGTTGAGCGCGGTACGGGTGCAACACCGAGGGTTGCGATCCCGTTGCTGGTTGCAGTACGGGCACGACACTGAGGGTTGCGATCTCGTTACCAGTCACGAAAAAAGACAAAAAGGAAAAAAAAATTATTTTTTGAAAAAAAAGATTGTCACTACAACTGAAATGCAGGAATCCACACAGCCAGCCCTCTCCTTCCATGTGAAGAGGGTTGCTTAGAGATCACGAAATCTGAACATGGACTTAGAGGAATCAAATATTCAAAATCAGCAGACTAAGACAGCCTGAAGCAAGTCCCTCCACGTTAGAAATGTTCTGGCCTCGGGCCTCAGACGCTCTGACCTCAGGTCCCTGTGATTGATCCTGCACTGCCACCCTTCACTTGTGCTTGTACCTTTTCTTTTGCTTCTAGAATGTTTCATCCTTGCTACCCAATGCCTCTCCCTACCCTTGACCTAGAAGTCAGCTGTCTCTTTATGGGGGTTTTACATACATCTCCTCAAAACCACTGTTGCGATATCACAGCTTAGTTCTCAAAAAAGCAGCTTTATTTTCTTCATTGCCAGTTACTCACAGGATGTGTCACAGTACCACCCTGGGTACTAACAGTAACACTGCAGGTTGAACTATTAGTGTCTGATAATGGACAATTTTCAAAATGACAAATTGGACATTTTGAACAGCCTGAGCAGAGCCTGACAGAGCCTTTTTGGGTACAAAAGGAGGTGGAGATGATTACGGATGCTACAGCAAACGAAGAAAACTTCACCCTAATTCTGGGGCTCTTTGTGGATACTCAATAACACTTTTGTTTAGTAAATAGCTGTTCCTAGCAGTAGGGAGCAGGAGGAGAGAATAGGAGGGAAAAAAGCAGGCCTAATCACTTGGGAGGAAGATTCACAAGGAATTGTGATGGAAATATGCACCTTTGCAGACATCAAGCCTAATGTTGTTTAGGGACGGTATTTTAGAGGAGGTGAGTGTAAAGCGAGTTTTAAAGGAAGACGGACAAGGAGGATTATACACAGCATCACTGCAGAGTGACAAACCAGAAGACAACAGTTCACGTTTACCGGTGTTTCCTATGCCAGGCACTCTGCTGCATCTTTCACATTCTATAAAAGACTTTTTTGCCTGCCTGGCATGTACTCTTCTAATACAAGCACCATAATTTCCTTAGAACCACCCCTTTCCCACACACAGCCTATGTGATTTAAGAGCGATGGACTCCATCGTGACCATGTGACCCAGGTCTGGCCAACCAGGGCCAGTGGCACTGACTGGAGGGTGGGCTCGTGTCTCAGTCAGAAGCAATGAGACTCCATTTCCCAGACTTTCATTGTTAAGAGACTTTTTATGGCAGAGTTGCTGGAAAGGGAAGATGGAAATCTGGAGTTTGGGGGCAGCTATAACCACATGGACAAAGCCTGCCAGAGAATAGTACCAACACAGAACAGACTTGAGAGCTGGAGACAGCAAGGCTTTGTCCAGTAACATCAATTTGACGTCCCAGCTAACACTATGCCTGGAGCTGGCCTAGCCCTGGGCTTTTTCATTATATGAATAAATTCCCGTTTTTCTTAAACTGATTTCATTTAGGTTTCTGTCAGTTGCTTGCAAAAAAAATCCTGAGTAATGTACATACACACACGTACACACACACACAGTATTGAAAATTCTTATTTATTGCTTACTCTGGCCAAGCTCTATGAATATCACCTCACTACATCCTCACAATAGCTTTATGACAGATACGGAAACAGTAGACAGTCAACGACAGCTATAATTTCAAACTCAGGGCTTTCTAGCACCAGGTCCACAGCTTTTAACTCCTCTCTCTAAAGTAAGGAAACGAGGACTAGGACGGTGATAAGGAAAGAGGAAATCTGAGAGAAGGAAATTCTTGAACTGTTCGCAATTTACCAAACAAGAATCACTGTGACAGCCAAAGTTCTGTCATTTCTTCTACCAATAAATGATCACATTATGTAGTTCACTACCCCAGGGATGCTGCTTCTGTTCTCTTCATTTCCTGCCTTCTCAGGACTCGATGCTAGAATTGGGATATTTTGTTGTTTTTTTTTTCTTTTTGTCTTTTTTCGTGACCAGCAACGGATCGCAACCCTCAGTGTCGCGCCCGCACCGGACCAGGACCGGCAACGGGATCGCAACCCTCGGCATTGCCCCCGCAGCTCGCTCAGCCAGTGAGCAGCCGGTCTGTATGTGGGATCCGAACCCTCTGCGGGAGCACCACCACGCTCCCAAGCGGCGCACTGTAGCAGTGCACCACCAGGCCGGCCCTAGAATTGGGATATTGATTCAGCTGCTATAACTAGTGCAAATGGAAATGTCTCTCTCTCACACATCAGCAGTCCGAGTGAAAGAGCCCAGTGCTAACATGGTGCCAAGCCCAGGCCACGTCTGTCTTGTGACTCCACCATCCCTAGGGTGCAGCCCCCAACCAACTTCTCTCCCCAGCCAGTGGGGAGGGGGAAGAGAAAGCAAAAGACATGCCTCTCCTTCCAAGGCTACAATTTGGAAGTTGGATACTTTACTTCTGCCCAGGATGGAGGGGCCAGAGAAAGCTGGGAAACCTCTATCAGACGGCCACATGCCCAACTAAAACTTCTTCCGTAAGTGGGAAATGATTATCAGTGTCTGCCACACACAGTCTTAGGAGTAATGGTGTACATCTCTAAGGCACAGAAAAACTGGAATATACAGGTGACATCAGGTTTGTTAAAAAAAAAAAAAAAAAAAGCATGCTGGCCAGTTAGTGCAGTGGTTAGAGTGCAGCATTATAACACCAAGGTCAAGGGTTCAGATCCCCATAACAGCCAGCAGCCAAAAAACAAAAAAAAAAGAAAGGCTGCATAGAATGAATAGCTCCCAAATAGAAGTATCTGTCCACCCTACCCAGATAAATTTCTGAGTTTATGAGAGTTCTAATTCAAAGCTTTGCAGCCTTTCCTCTTGTCTCTCTTTGTCCCACCGCTTCCCCTGCAGTTCTATAAGCAGACCCAGAATAACAAGAAACTGGGTGGCATGCTTCATTCAGTAAAATATGCAGGACCCTGTAGATGACAGAGATACAACGGTGAGCCAAAAGGACCTGACCCCACGGAGCCGAGAGTCTGGGGGGGAGGGACACATGTCAGTCAAAGAATCACAAATGTAAACGTCCTGAGAAAGAGAGGCCTCCGGGAGAGGGACTAAAGGAACTGATCTAGTCAGGGAGATGGGGAGGCCCCCAGATCTGAGGGAAGAGCAGGTGTGACGTCAGAGAGGAGGCAGGGGAATTCTAACGCAGCAGGAAAAGCCAGGGGAAGGCCTTTGGCTCCCTCTCCCTACGCCCCCCATGCCTCCCCTCTTCCTCCTGACCACTAAGGCACTTCTACCAGGCTGTTTTATCCCTCGGCCCTTTTCTGCATTCTCTCTACCCTAGCTGGGAATTCTAAGAGTTGACTCTATAGTATTGGCTGCTATGCTATATTTTAGGACCTTTCCAGAAAAGCATGGGCCCTAGGATCTGACCAGTTTTCCTGAAAAAATACTACCCTCTAACCTTGAGTAAGAATCTAGTGTTTAAAGATACATAGGCCAGTGATGCCTGGTCCTTGCCTGGAGAACCTGCCCCTGCAGACTCTGGGGCCTGAAAGTCAATGCAGGGAGAAGGAAAGGCCTTAGCAGTGCCAGACCTGGAAGCTTCTGAAATGCACAAGAGATGTAAAAAAATATAAACTCTCTGAGCACATGGCCTGCTGTCCCTTATTTATCCTCAGATTTCCCAATTGTTGCCATTGTTTATCCACAGAAAATGAAACCGGTTAACTACATCAGACCTGTTCCTTCAAGGGTTTGCTTTCAAACACGTGAATTCATTCTAAGCCTCCCTATTAGCCAGTTTTCTGTTGCTTATAACAGAATACCTAGAATTAAGTAACTTATTTTTTAAATAATTTATTTCTTACAGTTTCAGAAACTGGGAAGTCTAAGGTCCAGGGGCACATCTGGTGAGGGCCTCCTTAGTGGGGGCTCTCTACAGAGTTGCGTGGTGATGCAGGGTGTCACGTGGTGATGGCTGAGCAAGAGTGCTCCCACATGATCCTTTTTCTCCTTATAAAGCCCCCAGTCTACTCCCTGGCGACCCATTAAACCAATAACCAATTAATCCATGAACAAATTCATCCATTCATGAGGGCATAGTCCTCACGAACCAATTACCTCTTAAAGGCCCCACTTTTCAAATACCATCCTGGGGATTAAGTTCCACATAAGCTTTGGAGGGGACAAACATTCAAACCTCAGCAGCCTCCGTAACGCCAGATGCTACCACCAACGGGCAAAAAGTGAACCGTAGGAGTGAATTAAAATCAGTGACATCAGAACAATGAGGGCCAAGGCTTAATACCACAGAGAAGCTCCACCAAAATAATCAACTTTTTAAATCAAGAGTATGACTTTTAATATGTTTTAATGCATGTATACATCAAGTGTAAAGACGTTTGGGCTGCCTCATTTAATATCTCTCATAGTGGCCCGCAATGAGAGAACAGTTAATGAGGCAGTCTACAGCCCGTCAAGTTTCATATTATTACTAGTAACAGAATCAAAAGGGCACAGAAATGCTATTTTTAAAAACAAATGTTTAGAGATAAAGTTGGCTGTGAAACATGATGCAGTCAGGAGAACTGGGTAAACTAATTCCACTCTCTACACACATTTCCAAACAGCTCAAAGGCCAGGGAGGATGCCTTTCTAGAAGAAGAGGAACACTCCTTCCACCTCCCTGAAAGAAGTGGTTTTTAAGCTCCAAATCTGTTACATTTAGAAGATTTCAATACAGTTGCTTCCTCTCTCTTCCATATTTTCCCTGCTATCTGAAAACTATCCCAGGTGGAAGACGGCCCCTGACACTGGCCCACGTCTAGGATGCGTCCTCCCAGCTGCAGCCTCTCTCTGCCCGCAGCCATATAAGAAATCAAGAAAGTGGTTGTGGAAACCTTCTTCCCAGGCTCACCCAGAGACTCCCAGCCAGAGGTAGAAAATGTGTCAAAATGCCCTAAGCTGGGTAGCGATGGGGATGGGGATGCAGGTGGAGGGATGAAACCCCACCCTACCTGGCGGGGTGGCATCCAGCCCTCTGGTGGACTGAGAAGGAACCGCACTGCAGGCTGCTGATGAAAGATCATGAAAGCACTCGAACTCTGAGCCTCTCCTAGGCAGGAGTGAAGTAGCCTACAATCACAATTCATTTTCTGCGTTGTTGTGCACGCAGGAGGTGCTCAGTACACACTGTTCGGCTGGAAGGAGGCACACTGCCTGGTACACTCAGCTAAAGGGAACCTACGAGATGGACATTTTAAACAGCAAGCCCCCGGAGAGCCAGGGTAGAAACAGGAAACCTCACGCAGGGTTGGCAGATGCAGAGCCAGGCTAGGAGAGACTGCCACTCATGAAAGCTGGTGTCTCAGCTCAAAGGCGGGTCAGGAAGCACAAAACATCAAAGGGATCTGAAGCCGGAGCTCCTACTCATTGGTGTTTATTAAGGCTGTCTGCAGAAGACACCTCAGCTTGGGAGGGCGCATGTCTTGCAACCTCTCCCTGAGGGATGGATTTGTAAGACAGATTGGCCAACAGCAGTCTGCAGGGGTGCAGGGTACCAACACAGTCAGCCATCCCCTGCAGGGCAGAACTTGTGGCCCTAGGGGACCCAATGCACCATCTGAAAAATAAATATTTTCATTTCCCCTTTTCTATTCTGAATTGAAATTCATAGATACCATAATTATTGTCTCTATAATTTTAAAAGTAAATATAAGGCCCTAACTATAACAAAAGAGAAATAAAAAGAAAAGCAATTTATAATAATACGTGTTTCTACATAACTACTCAAGAATGACTACACTTGAAAACAAAAAAAGGTCCAGCAAATTTCCAAATGCCACTAGGGTTGATACCATCCCATGGGAAACCAATTCTCTAGCCCCTGGCAGTCTCAAGCCACCAAGCTCCTTGACCAGCCATAGCATGGTGGCTCCTCCCAGCCCTGCCGTGGAGAGAGCCCTGTCGCCAGCCAGCCACTCACCCCCTGGCTGTAGGAGAGGAGTCAGGAGGCAGAGTCCAGACCGGCCCATTCTTGCCGCACAGCCGATTCATGTGGCATCTGCAGGGACAAATGCAGATGGAGGTGGAGGAGTAGCTCCACCACTGGTCAGGCCTTCCAGGATTCCTCAGCTATGCACAGACCCCGCCCTAGCTGCCAGCTTCCTGCCCAACGATGCTGCGGAAGTGGGAGCCTGGGAAGGTCAGCAGGGGAAGGAAGATCCCGGCAGCTGGACTTCATTTCCTCAAAAATCCCAGGCCAGCTCGGTTGGTAAAGCCAGATTTCTTTAAGTGTCTCCCCTTGTCACTTGGGGGGGTTTTCTTCACCTTTCTGGTCTCTGCTTTTGCAATGGCGTCTAACAGCACAGATGGCTATGCCCAGGACCCCCAGCCTTGCCAAATGGAGCTCTCTGTTCCAGCCCATTTAAAAGCGCAGAAATAAGATGAGGCTGCACAGTGAGAGCTCAGGTGCCCCAAGCATGTGGCAGCACAGTGCAAGGGACAGAGCATGTCCCTGGAGTTCGACAGGTTCAAATCCCATCTCTGGGGTCCATTAGCTGTGTGATAGCGAGTTACTTAGATTCTCTGCACTTCCATCTCACCAATGATAAAACAAGGATGATACAGGGCCAGCCCGTGGCTCACTTGGTAGAGTGTGGTGCTGATAACACCAAGGCCGCGGGTTCGGATCCTATATAGGGATGGCCGGTTTGCTCACTGGCTGAGCGTGGTGCTGACAACACCAAGTCAAGGGTTAAGATCCCCTTACCGGTCATCTTTTAAAAAAATAAAAACAAGGATGATATAACCTATTTTGCTGGGTTATATTGAGCATTAAGCATAATCAATGAAAAGCGCCCAGCCCAGTGCAGGAAACACAGTAGACACGCAATAAATGTCCCAAAAGGCAGTCGAGGGCTGCAGGAAAAGCAGGGGGCAGGGAGCCCCAAAGACCTAGTTTCAACCCAGATCCTTAACCACAGACTCCACCTCTTATAAAATGGGAAGAAGATGCTTCATGGGGAGGACTGACACATGAGGGGAGTCCCCCGCTGGGAAGCCCCACGGCCCCACTGACCCCTGCTCAGTGCATCACAGCCCCTCCACCTGCCAGGAGCATCCTCAGGTCTCCCAGAGGGAACAGCTGGGGCGTCTCCTGTGTCATCCGCTGCTTCCTCCACCTTCTCAGAATCACTCTGTGTTTACTGAGGGTGGAAGCACTGTACCTTCCTCCTTGCAGTTGGTGTCATTTCTACCAAGGATATGATGAGACAGTGCAGTCTCATTTAAAGCAGGGGTTAAGGTGGGTGTGAGGAGGAACACCCCAGCAGTCATCTTATCTGTACTACCTTAACTCTTCCCATGTGCTTTTTAGGGTATGGACAGTTATCTGCAAGGCTTTGATCTCCTTGTGCATAGAGGTACAGGACCTTGCAAGCTCCTGTCAGGGCTGGAGAGGGATGAGTGGGTCCTTCTGGAGTGGATGGTGAGGAATAACCAGGGAGATTCTGCCGGGACCCACCAGCTCCGGGACTGCGTGAAACAGCGAGCTGAGCGGGTAGTGCAGGAAGTTGAGGCAGGTGGCGTGTGGAGGTCAGCGTAGCGCATCAGCTGGCTGGAGAAGAGCGTCTGGCAGAAGCCGCAGCAGAATGGGCTGCCCATGGTGCCGTAGCACAGGTCCAGCTCCCGGGTGACCCTCTGGCCAGAGAGGCAGCACGCTGAGTTGAGAGCCCAGCCTCCCTTGACCTGCACCACCCGCAGCACTGGCCACCCAACCTGGGGGCGAGCACCCCCACTGCGTCAGGCGTGGCCCTGCCCTTGCCTACTCTCTCCCTGGACATCCCAGCCCACCCTGGGTGGCTCGTGTGGGGACATTGAGGCCTGTAACCACCAGTAGGGAGGAGCTGCATGTTTAAACCCACGGGCCATATTCTTGTGCACTTGAAGGTGAGGCATCTCCATTTTGCCACAGGCCCTGCTCTGGGCTCCCTCACAGTTACCTGCCCCCAGAGAGTGACTCCCCAGGACTAAACCCACAGTGTAATCCACTTTCTGATGCCCAACAGAGGACTTGGCAAAGGCCCACACACCCGGCCAACTCCTGCTCTCCAGACAGGCCCCTGCCCCACCACCAGGCCCTGCTTTTAGAGTCTGGAGAACTGTCCTGACATTGACTGCCAGGGTGACCAACAGCATGCTGCTCCCCCATCTCTGAGCCTCAGTTTTCTCATCTGTAAAATAAAGGTGACAGTCCCTGCCCAGGCTGTGGAAATTATTGAGTGCCGTGCTTTCTATGCCCTATGCTTTATAATCTGCAAAAGGCTCTACGAAGATCCTTCATTATTGATCCCAGCGGGGCTTGGGATTGCCATGTGGTCTCACTCCCTCTGACCCAGCTGGCCTGTGGGACTCTCCCAGCTTTGGTGGCTGGTCAGTAATGCCAAGAGGGTGTGTGTTTTCCTTTCTACTCTTTTCCCAGGACCCATCTGCTCACTGGCCCTAACTCTCATATTCTCAAGCCACTTATCTGGCTGACCCCAGAGGTTGATCATGGCTGGCTAGTCAGCCCCATGAGGACCCACCCCAGCAGACAGGCACTTCTCAAGGAGGGTATTGGCGAGGACTGAGGGACTGGAGGCCAGCCCCACAAACCAGGCTCAACTCTGCCCTTCAACAGCCACTGCTGTCATTTAGAGCATAGGCCAGCAGAGGGTGCTGGCTGACAAGGACAGGCAGCGCTGCCAGGGTGGGGAGAATAACTGAGCACCGGGGACCAGGACAAGGCAGATCCTGGCAGGCAGCTGGGGCACAGCCCTTCCCCCACTGGGCCTGTCCCCTCCTCACTTACCACCCAGCTCTTACCTGCATCTCCCCCTTGGTGGAGTTGATGACTTGTAGCCCACAACTACTCCCATTCAGGTGCCTGGTGCAGAAATGGCCCATGGGGGTAAGGGGAGGACACCACACGGGCATCCATTGGGGGTACTGGGCTGGGTGCATTCATGTGTGTGAGTGGGCAGGCCCCTGAGTCTGAACTGGATGGGTTAGGAGGAAAGGCCTGGAGGTCAAGGGGGCCGGGGGAGGTAGGGGGTCCAAAGTCCAGCGTACTAGGGAAGCCCAGCCTAAAACAGATCTTGATTTCCTGACGACCTTGGCCAGGACCTCGATGCCAAGCCTGGACGTGGGCAGCCACGCCTCCATCCCTCTCCCCAATACCTGCACGCCCCCAGAAAGGCCCAAACTCTCACTGGTACGGGTCTGCCGGGTGCGTGTCCAACCTCTTCGGCTCTTCTGAGCTCTCTGAAAAATGGACAGGAGACAGCAGGGTGAGTGACAGCCCAGGTCACCCACCGGCCCTGCGCACCTTGTCTGCCCAGGCCCGGCTGGGACTCTGTGCTCCCTCAGCTGTGTGCATACCATCCATGAGACTTCATCCAGAGCAAAGCAGGGTCTGGGTAGTCCCTGTGGGACAGGTGAGGGAAGGCATTTGGGAGTCGCGTGACCTCCCAAAGTCACACGGCGATGACTCAAACCCATATCTTAGAACAAATCCCAAATTGTTTAGGCTCACGGCAACTCCCGAGGATGACTCTGAGTCATTCCCGGGTGTGGAAATGTGTACCTTCCACTCACTAAAAGCCATCAGGGCAGGCGGGGAGGTTGGGTAAGGTGAGAAAGGAAGCCCCAGCCAGTGGAAACGCCACAGGACTCCGGAGTCAGGAGATGAGGATCTGAATCCCAGCTTTGCCCCTGCTGGCTGTGTGCCTTTGGGCAAACCACTTAACCTCTCTGGTTTCCCTGTGTATAAAATAGATCGTCTCTCATAAATTGCAGAACAGACAGGATTCCTGGTCACTACTAAGCCCCCACGGGAAAAGGGGGAAGATGACCACCGGGCAGCCCTCTGCACTGCCAGCCAGTGCCCCCTGCCCATTCCTGACCCCCACAGCTCACGCTTCTGCCAGGCCCAGATGCCCAGCTCCCGGGACAGCTCAGGAACCACCAGGCAAGTCCGCCAGCTCTGCCGTTTCTTGGACTTGAGAGTGTCCCCAAAGATGTGGTTCCCAATGTACAGGATGTCCTTCCGCCACACCCCAAGCTGCTCACACACCATGTCTGACGAGCCTGCCTCACCGAGGGAGGACAGACACTCGCTCACCCTTCCTGTCCCAATGGGACAGTTTAGGGACACGGGCTCCAGGGTGACTGTGCAGCAGGAGGGGTGAGGTGGGGGCTGGTACCTCCAGAGTAGACAGCACAGTGCTGGTGGGGCCCAGTATAGGTGCCCACAAGGAGCTTCCCTGAGTCCTGGAGGGGGCAGAGAGGGGCCCTGAAGCCAGGAGAACCACATCTTCTAATCCTGGTCAGGGAGGGCTGGGGACTGGGGATGGCAGTGGTAATGATGGAGTGTAGGGGGAGGAGGCAGCAGAGGGCCCCGAAGGAGACCCCTGGCTCCCTGCCTCCCTGCAGAACCGGTGGCTGCCAAAGGCAGGTCAAGCCTAAGGGGCAGGCAGGCTCCCCCGCAACCATGGTGCACAGGTCAAGGTGGATGAGGCCTCAGTAGCTGCCATTACCGTGTTGACCTGTCTCAGGACTATCCCCTCTGCAAATAAGCAGGGCTTCTACGTGTCCACCACAATCAGGTCAAAGTAGGACCTCCAGGGCCTGGCCAAGGCTCCGGGCTGTGGGGCGGGCATCAGAGAGTATGTGTGGGCCCACGGGGCCATGCACACAGCCTGGAAAATCTGACACTGCCACAGCCCATGCACCCGCCACAGCATGCCCCCCACCCTGCCAGCTTCCCAGCCCAGTGAGACACCCCTGGGAACCAGAAGGTCTTGCTCTCCTGCGACCCCAACCAAGCTGGGCAGGCGAAAGTGCTGAAAAGGCATCTGCAGCGGTCAGCGCTGGACACCAGTGCGCTGAGATCAGCCTCCAGGGCTCCTCACAGCGCAGATACCCATGCACAGGACGAAGTCAGGCCCCACCCTCCTGCCCAGGACACTCGGCACAGCCAGTGCCCCAGGGCCTGCCACGCCCACATCTCAACCCCTTCCTGCCCCCTCCAGCACCTCCCCAAACACCCGACTGCCTCTTTATGGCCTGCGAAGAGGCCCTAGTGGTCATTCCCCTACTCCCCAGAGGCTCCTCCTTGGCGTGGTTGAGGTCACCAACCTCCTCCCCACTGGGGAGCTTCCAGCAAGGCCCACCCAGGTGAAACACCCCCTCACACACTCGGTTCTTCTTCAAGGGGAGGGTGGGATGTGAGCAAGGCCTTCAGCCTTAGGGGGTGGCCTGGCCCTCCCTGCCCTCTGTGCAGCCCACCCCGGCCATGCACGTGACACTCACCTCACTGACACCAAACAGGTAGGTCATGATGGCCTGGCAGGGACAGGGCATGGGTCAGGGCACACTGGGGCCCTAGGAACAAGATAGTGGGAAAATTGCTCATTCCACTGAGGCCTTAAAAGGCTGAGAAATGGAACCCAAGATGCCAGCCGGGCAGTAGGGGGTAGGAGGGTCTCGGCTCCTCCTCACACCCTTACTGTTTCTTGCAGCGCCTCAGCATCCCCTGGGGCCACCCACCCCTCCAAATACACACTCATATCGGTGTAGTTGTAGCTGCTGTTAGCCATAAACACTTTCCCAACCTCCTTCATCTTGCCCAGCAAGATGGAGATTCATGCCTGGGGCAGGCATTAGAGTGACTTCCAGGGGTGGGGCCTCCCAGAGCTGCCCCGGGATCCCCTCCTCAGGTTTCAGCCTCCTGGGAGCCTACCCCCAGCCCAGTCCCCCCAGAGTACCTGGGCTCCAGGCCAGGCAGGATGGCCCTGAGCAAAGCCAGGTGCAGAGCTCTGTCTAAACCTTGAGGGAGAAGACCAGGGAAAGGAACAGGGGACACAGGGTGGGCCTGGCCATGGCCCTGGGTCTGAGACCACTCACATCCTTCTTCACGTATTTCTCCAAATCCTCTAGGGTCTTCTCCTTGAGACTGCCCTACAGGAGGGAACAGAATTGTGTGTGCACGGGTGCATGTGCACATGTGTGCGTGTGTGTGCATGGGGGTGTGTGCACCTGCCCACGTGCCTGCATCCAAGGTGGGGGGAGTGGCACCAGGCAGCCCAGTTCCAGACCACAGTCCCCAGTGGGAAGAGAAGTGGAAACTGTGGGGACTGGAGGCCTAGAAGTCGCCCAGGAGAGCCAAGGGCAGCAGCAGTCAGGAGTCCTGGGCCCTGGACCACTCACCGACTGGTGGATGTTATTCATGGCATCCGTCACATCCTGGAAGAGGCTTCGGAAGGACATGAAGAGGTTCCCACGCTGATAGCCAGTGTCACAGCTGAGACAGGCCAAAAAGGGACAGGGGAGGCCAATAAGGGGCCCTGAGGTGACCACCAACTTTTACCAGTGTGACTCCTCCAGCCAACCATCCTGGGAGGGGCGTCCCCCTGTGCCAAGGGTCACCCTGTGGAGCAGCACTGGTTACAGGGTCGGGGGCCACTGCGCAGAGAAGGCCTTCCTGCTGAGCACCTAGAGGCCTTCAGACCACTCAGGAGGGGCCTCTGCACTTGGCAGGGTGCCTGCACTGAGTTTGGCTCCTGGGAAGCAGCAGTGTCTATTGGTCACGACAGGACTGGGCAGGGAGAGGGACGTAGTTAGTATAGTGGGAGCAGCCAGAGAAGTCCACCAGGCAGGCATACAGGTAGAGGCAGCCACCCCCGGGCCACAGCTGGGCCCCTGAGGACCACCTCCCCGCACCCCCACCCACCCCTCACTAGGCAAGTTGAAGAGCGTGTTGAGGGTGTGCAAGCGCTGCAGGTCGTCCCTCTGAATGAACTTGCTGGGGTAGAAGCTCCAGATCTCCGCTCTGGGGAACTGGTGGGTCAGGTGCAGCGACGCCCCTCCCCAGCGCCCCAGAGGCCTGTGCAGGCTCTGGTCACTCCTTCCCAACTCCCCCTGTCCCTTCTGTCCCTCCCCCACCCGCTGGCCTTTGCTGAGCCTCTACTGAATCATCCTCCCTCCCTCCCTCTGTCCACTCCCCTTCTTTCCTCCAGCATGAGCAGCCTCCGCTCCCCCGCACCTTCAACCGTCCCCTCCATGCCTTGTCCCTTACTCCGAGAGAAAAGTGAAGCCGTGGGCACCCAGCAGCACGTTCCCGTGGAGGTCCACCTTCAGCAGATTCCCGTAGAGCATGTCAAACACCAGCCCCCTGGGGAGAGAGCACGGGGGCTGTGGTTGGGGACACCAGGGCCGGCGACAGCCTCCCACCTGGCCCAGCTCCGCACCTGGTGGGGAAGGTGGGGCCATAGGTGTAGCGCAGGATCTCGGGCGGGTACCCGATGCACACCAGGCGCTCCAGCAGCAACGCGAAAGCCAGCGTCTCATAGGCTCGGGATTTGTAGGCTGCATGGGGCCGAGCAGACCCAGGCTGGTTGGTGCCTGGCTGCCTGCCCCCAGCTACCCCCAGACCCAAATACCCTGTGTGCCAGCCCTCCCTACCAGCCAGAGTGTAGTCCATGTCAAAGCCGAAGCAATGAATCTTCCCCAGCACCAGGCTGTGGTTGACAAAAATCTTGGGGAGAGGAGGAATTTGGGATCACCTGCCAGCCCCCAAAGGTCAAGACCCAAGAAGGGATGGGCGTGGAAACCCAGTTGAGCAGACATAGCACCCCCTGCAGCTGCAGAAATGATGGGAGAGGTGGGCCTGGCTAAGCCGGGGTCTGTGTTTTGGGTGTCCCCATGCATGTATTTAAAGGAGTCACTGCATGCTGCTGGGTCCTGTGGGGTGTTTTCAGGCTGAGACTCCCCAACCCCCCTCCCCAAGTGCCCGTCTCACTGCTGGTGCCAGTCCTGCTTCAGGCCTGGAGAGGAGCCCAGACCCTCGGACTTCCAGCTGGGCCTCCATGTCTGTCCCCCGTCCACACTGGCCATCCTCACCAGGACTGAGGAAGAGGCAATTTTCCCTTCCCCAGCCCCCTGCATGCTATCAGTGGGGCCCAGCCACTCCCCTCTCCCTGCAAAACTTCAGACACCACTGACCCAGCCAGCCCCACCCTTTGCTCCCATGGCCCCCAATGCTCCCTTTTGAGGGTGGAGTCAGCCAGGACAGTCTCTGGTATCTCATCCCTTCTTCAAGAGAGAATGCAGTAAGGATCCAGGAAGAACAGTTCATCTGCATTATGCCACCTGCATGTCTAGGGCTTATGCCTCTAAGGACCTTAACTGCCTGGGACAGAGCAGAGAACCCAGAATGAAGCACAGGGGTTACAAAGGCAGGGGACTCTGTGCTTTAAAAATAAAAGACTCTTCAATAAATAAATAAAGAACTCAGGACTCTTGCTTTCTACACAATTCCAACACATTTGATTATCAAATTTCCCAGCTCAAGGCCACTTAAAGAAGAAATTGCTAGAAGCATGCCAAGAACTATAAGCAGTAGCTGGTAACTGGGATCTCAGAATCAGGGGGAAAAGGTACAAAAGGAAGTGCTGAAAAGTAGAGCAACTAGAGTTTGTGAATAGCCCCTGAGGGCCCATGCAACAAAGAATGTGACTTCCATCCAGATCAATGACCTGGGTCATCCAAAAAGACTTAGATGAGGTGGTGTGTCCTCTTTTAAAAAGAAAGAGAAGTTGACAATTCGTTTTAGAAAACTCTGTCTCCAAAATGGCTAAACTAAATGAAATTGGGCACTTTTAAAGGGATAAAAGTTACCGGGGCGGGGGGAGCACATCTGTGGGATAGCTCCTTCCTTGACAATGCCAGATGAGCAGCTATTAGGGTGGTGAGGAAGAGTATGGAGGCTTCAGGAGATGCCTTTTCTCATTGGATGGATGGTGGATGGGTGGAGGGATGAACGGATGGATGGCGGGAGGGTGGATGGGTGGGTGGATGGATGGATGGATGGATGGATGGAGATGGATGAATGGGTAGATGGATGGATGGATGATGGATGAGTGGATGGATGGAGAGATGAATGCATGGATGAGTGGATGGATGGGTGAATGGATGAACAGACAGACACATGGATAGATTCATGGATAAATGGACAAGTGAATGGCGGGCTATATATGGCAGTCTTTATTGAGGATGTCAGAGGAGAATCAAGTTTCAGAAATCAGGAGGATTTCTGGAGTGCCTTCCATCCATGCTCATCTCATGGGAGCCGTTCAAGGCCCTTTCCCACCTTGGACAGTTCCTCTGTAGATCAGAAAAAAAGAGGAGGAATACCTGCTTACTGGAAGTTGCTGGGAAGTTCTTCAGCTCTCCCACTGGGAGTTAAAGAGGCAGGTGTACAAAAATGTAACCTGCTTTTCCTATAGCTGAACTTAAGGTCTATCTTGATCTCCCATTCCACCTGAGGTCAGGGAAGCTATACAGCAATGTTCAGGTACACTCCATCACTTCAGTGGATTCTCCGTTTACTTCTCCAGGTACCCCCCAGCCAACTCCTGAGATTGACTGAACAATTGGGACTTATGCCCAGCCACCCTGGTAGTTGGGCAGGGCATCATTTCTTGGCATGTCCAGTGCGACCAGCACTGGCATGGCTGGGGTGGCTGGCATCTCCCCACGGTGTTGTCTGTTGAGATGGCCACATCCCCATTGGGTCTTCAGCTGGCTTGGTCTCTGCCCCATCCCAGGATATGGCTACTTGTCCAGACCGTAGAGCCCCTGGCTAACTGCAGGTCCAGCCAGGCAGGGATGTGGGCTGTCCCAGGACCCTCCCTGGCCCTGACCTCTGAGCCATTACTACAGGCACTCCTGCAGGGCTTGCTGTACTCAGAGCACCTTCAGGAAGTAGAGATTTGTCATGAAATGGCAAGTGAACACTCACACTGTTTTTACTGTGTTCCAGGCCTTGTAACAATCCCGCAAGGTGGGCGACTGTTACTGTGAATTTGCAGATGATTAAACTAAGGCACAGAAGGGGTAAGCCACTCAGCACTCTCATAAAGCTAGTAAATGGCACAGCAGGACCAAGCCCAGGCAGGCAGCGCTCCTAACCACTGGGCAAAACCCCCTCTGCCCATGATCCCTCACAAAAGCCCCTGGGCTTTTCAGTGTCCTCAAAGACAAAGAAAGGTGAAGGAAATGTTCCAGACTAAAGGAAGCTAGAGAGCCATGGCAGATGAGTGCTATGTCTGAGCCCAGGCTGAATCCTGTTCTGCAGGGGCACAGAGTGCTAGGGACATTATTAGGTCGACAAATAAGATTGGAAGATGGATGGTAGATTAGATGAAAGTACCGCCTCCAAGTAAACTTGTGAAGCTGATGACTGTACTGTGATACTGCAAGAAAATGTCCTTATTCCTGGGAAATACTCGCTGAAGGATTTAGGGGAAATGTCACAATGTGTGTAATTTACCTTCAAGTGGTTCAGGAGAAACAGCCATGTGTATACACGCACGTACATACACACATACATGCAGAGGTGTGTGCACACGAAAATGTTAACAATAGGTAAATCTTTGTCAAGAGTATAAGGATGTTCTCTATACAATTATTTATTCTTATAGCTTTTCACAAATTTGAAACTATTTCCAAATTAAAAATTTTTACAAAAAGAGGGTCTGCTTTCCAAGCCCCCTCCCCCATTACAGCCCTGGAGCTCTCCCCTCCCTCCCTCCTTCTTCTGAGCTCCCGGCTGGGCACCTCTCCTCTAAGGAGGGGACATGGGAACATACCAAGCCAGCCAACATTCCTCTTGATTCTTCCACCTAGACTGTGTCTCACTTAAAAAGTGTCAAGGCCAGTGTCTAAGGTCGTCCGATCTGGGGTGCCTGGTGAGGCAGGCACCAGGCGTGGGGTGTGGCTGTCATCCCTCACACGTACCCCCCACCTTGAGTCAGACCCATTATTCCAGATCACCACAGCTCACCCCCAGCAGCTTTAGCAATGTGGGATCTGCGGCCCCAGTCGGGGGGTGGGGGGTCTCTATTCCCCTGAGCTTGGAGAAACCCTCTTGAGGAAACCAGAAACTTCCCTCTACACAGGGGCCTCCTCGCACAGGTGCAGCTGGTTCACTGGATTGAGGCAGGGACCCAAGCAGCACGCCAGGAATTCTTTCTATCAGAGGGGACTTGGATGAGGTTTTTAAGAAAATGTAGGATTTTTATTCATTTAGAGGAAAAAGGAATTTCACGTAGCCAACAATGAGCCTAGTGCTGAGAGGCAGAAAGAAAACTGACCGTGGGAGACAGCAAAGGATAGAACCCACCTCCTAGGCAATGGCCATCACAGCACAGCCACGTCCCGGCCCCCACTGTCTCCTCCCGTCTCATGTGGCCACACTGCCAAAGGGCATGTTCTGGGGTGGAGAGGAAGAGCTGGGACCAGATTGGGACCAGAGGTTGGACTCCACTTGCTGGGAAAACCCTGGGGCTGAGTCAGGACCACGGGACACCGTGATGCAACTCTGCCACACCCTGGGCAAAGGCTGTCCCCTCCTTGGGTGGGGATCACAGAGGGAGAGATTTAGGGTGAGAGATTAGGAAACTCCCAAGAACCTGTCTCTTCTCCATCGAAACAATGGAAGTTGCTGGGAGTTTGTAGTGTGTGTGTGTGTGTGTGTGTGTGTGTGTGTGTGTGTGTTGGGGTGGGGGTGGTGAGGGAATGTATGCATGTGTGAGCGTGGGTGTGTGTGACAGTGCAGGTGGGCATGCTGGGACCAGGGCTCGGCAGAGGGAATGCCAGTCACTGACCCCAGCCTCAGGCTGGAGCCCTTAGGGGACTGCAGCTACAGGGAGGGGTGAGCAGGGAGCAGAGGAAAAGAATGCCACCCACACAGCCCAGAGGAGGCAAGGAGGCCAGGGGCTGAGGGCTCCCCACGTGCCATCAATGCAAGACTCTTTGGGGCTCCTCTTTGAGGTGAAATTTGTCCCTGAGGGGGTGAAGCCTCCTTTACTACCAAATTGGAATCCCAATGGCACCCACATCTCAGCAGCTGTGAAGCCCTGGAAGGCCGTGGACCTCCAAGGAGAAACTGAGAATCACAGGGGGTGGTGGCTGCAGAGGCTCAGGAGACAGTTGTGTCCTGTCCTTGAGGAACATGTCAGGGGAGCCCTGAGACAAGGTCAGGGCAGGAAAGAAAGGCACAAAGGCCATAGCCTCCAAAGCCACCGTAAGCCTGCTCAGCTCCAACTGAGGCCTGGCCAGGGAGGGCTGGAGCGCCAAAGCCACACCTCCCCAGCAAAGACCCACGGCTCCCCTCCCTGCACCCTGAAGAGTCAGGAGGGGACAAGTGGCTACACACCAGGGTCTGGGCAAGATGAGGACAGGCTAGAGCAGAGGGCCCAGGGGGCTAAGGGAAGCTGCGTGGAAGTAAGGGATACTGTGGATTTCAGTCACCTCCTGTACATAAATCATTCTAGTTAGACAACACGCATTTATTAAGCATCTGCGTCATGCCAAGCCTGTGTTAGAAACTGTGTTTAAAAACTATAAGATGTCTTGGGCCGGCCCAGTGGTGCACTCGGTAGAGTGTGGCGCTTGGGAGCGTGGCGGTGCTCCCGCCGAGGGTTCGGATCCCATATAGAGACCGGTCCGCTCACTGGTTGAGCGCGGTGTGGGCGTGACACCGAGGGTTGCGATCCCGTTACCAGTCACGAAAAAAAAAAGACAAAAAGGGAAAAAAAAAACTATAAATGTCTTACTTGTCCTTTAAGGAGCTCACAGTATAAGAATGGTGACAGAAAACAGAAATGGTGGAAAGATGAGCTCCTGCCCTTGTGAACACAGGGAGACCAAGGAAGGCTTCCTGGAGGAGGAAGCCTTAATGGATAAGGAAGAATCATCCAGGAAAGGCCAGGCAGAGCAGCATTCATTCAAGGGTGGCCACAAACAGTGTTCAGTGACAGCCTGACGTGTATGTGGGAATCACAAACAGACAGACCTGGCCAGAGG